GCCCAGACCAGAGCCCAGCGTGTTCTTTCACCACCCGCCACTGCAGGCATCTAACAGGGAAGCAGATGACTGAGAACAGAACCAGTTTTAAGCGGAGTGCACAAGACCAGTTTCAGTTCAACGGGCCAACTGCAAAGTCAGAGCTGCCTGGCTGGGAAGAGAAGGATCCAGGGAGACCTCACTGCAGCCATTCAACACTTACAGGGGGAGATGGAGAGACTTTTTACCCCTGTCACTACAGGCCCTGGTAACAGGTTTAAACGGAAAGAGGGAGATGGAGATGGGACATCAGGAAGGAATTCTTCCTGCAGAGGGTGGGGAGGCACTGGGACAGGTTCCCAGAGAAGCTGTGGATGCCCCATCCCTGGAAGTGTCCAAGGCCAGGCTGGATGAGGCTGGGAGCAACCTGGTCTAGTGGAAGGTGTCCCTGCCCATGGCAGGGGGTGGGAGTGGGTGGGCTTTAAGGTCCCTTCCAACCCAAACCACCCTGTGATTTCCCCCCCTCACAGCAGCACATGGCTCATGTAAAGAGGGAGGAATCGATCCAGCTGAAGAGCAGAGGTACAGACTGACCAGGTGACATCAAACACCCAGGCTCTGGACACACCAATTCTCTCATCCTCTGCAGCATCACCAAGCAAGACTTTCCTGTTGTGTTTTCAGCTGTAACGCAGCCCTTAAGGAAGCAATTAGCTGGCCAGACAGGAGTCACACAGGAATTTGCCAGTGTGGTGGGTTAGGAGGTCAGTAGGGCGAAATCTCTCATTAAAGCAGCGTAGCTGAGAAAGCTTCCAGGCACCACAAGCCTCTGCCAGTCGCTCATACGCGGCTCATCAGAGAATGAGACATGCAGAGTTTACCTTCCATCTCATGAAGACGTAGTCCCCATTTTTCAGATCCTCATAATCAAAGTCATCAGAGTTAAATGTTTTTGCATACTGGTAAAAAGCCTGGAACTTCCCCTGAAACAAAAAAAAACCACAAGGAAAAATGAACAGGATGCTTACCGCAGGAGCAGAGCTCAGTAGCACCAGCTGCTATTTAGGAGGGTAGAACTGCTCCAGAACAAGAGACCTCCCCACCGAAGGGGCCACTCGCCCCTCGGGGCAGCGCTAAACGCACACCCCACAACCAGCACAGGGGAACACACAGGGCTGCCTGACACCCACAGCCATACCCAGCCCGGCTGGAGAGGCTCATGCCTTTCCAGAGGAAGGTTATTTTGATGGCAGTGCAGTAAACATCAGTCTGGCAAACAGCAGCAAAGGTCAGGGCGGCGAGGCAATCGGCTGGCTGCTGTGGCCCCGATCCAGGGCACACCCTGACCGGAGCAGAGGGCTGAGGTGGCTGCAACACGGGTACCAACAGCCCCACCTGTGCCTGAGAGGCAGCTCCCCTTCTCCACTCTATTACACAATAAATAAGCCCTCAAAACAAGGAGTGTGTTCTCCCAGGGGGCTCAGAAGAGGGAGACTGTCCTGCTCCCAAGTTCTGGGCCAGCAAATGGAAAGCAAGACAAGCCCTCCGCTCTCCAGGATCACGGCACACAGCCTGCTGAAGGGACTTCCAATGGCAAAGATCGCAGTGGGGGGCAGAGAGTTAAAACACCCGAAAAGGAGAAGTTTTCAGTCCCTTCTGACAGCTTGTGCATGGGCACACACCTCCAAGCCAGCTGCTCAGCCAGGACTGCAGACCCACATCCGCGCCCCACACTTATTTACCCAGTGTTTACGATCCACGTCTTCGTCAGCATCCCACTTGCGCGTTAAGAAAGGATGTTTTTTACTGATTATCTCCCCTTCAAAGAAAGTGGTGAGGGTTGGGTACTCCTAGGAGAGAGGGAGACGAGCGAGAGGTCAGAGGGTTTGTCACCCACAGCTCAGCAAAAAGCAGCATCTCGCACGGAGAGCTCCGGGCAACCCGAGGCGGGCGCTCCCATCCCTCCAAGCAGGACACTGACTCGTGCTGCCCCACACCTCGTGCAGCCTGGCTCGTACGCACGCACGGCCTCCACCCTCTCATTCCAGCCTCTCTCGGCCTCTCCCTTCACAAAACCAGAAGGGGCTGGACCGTGGGGAAGCTCCCAGCTGGACCAACAGCCAGCACCGCTCCTCGGCGGACACCCAGCAGCTGCTGCCTGACCGCTGTGAAGGCCAAGGGCTGGATTAAGGAGAGGAGAAGGTGCTCCTCTTTGGCTTTGCGCTGGCACCCAAGCAGGAGCACACAGGCAGGGAACAGTGGGCTCCACTGGGGCGAGCAAGCTTCCCGAGTGCTCTCCTTGCTCTCCTTTCGGCACTGCAGCCGAAAGAAGCGTCGCCCCCTGGGAGACGGCTCTCAACAATTGCCCAACACCACCAGCAGCTCCTGGAGGACCAGCAAGGAATCACGTACCGAACTGACTCTCTGGGTCTTGCTTTATTTTCTTTCAGCAACGCGGCATTGGTGGAGTGCCCAAAGCTGACTGCAGCTTCAGACTCGGTTCTGCTCAGGCGTTAAGGGATGCCAGACAAGCTTCCCTCGTTCAGGACTCCCATCCAGGCCCATCGTACTTGCTCAACATGCCAAGAACAACAGACTGAAGCTATTAACCTACTTAGTGGTCAAATTTACTGTATGCTCAATCCCTCCCACTTCCTATTTCTGGTGGCAGCTTCTCCCATCCCATCAGGAGAAAGAAAACCCTTTACACAGCACCTTTTCTTGCTGTTTTGCAGTTAACACTCACCTCTGTAAGGCCTTTAATCTTCAAGTATCCACAGAGATAGGAGTTTTCCATATCCACATGCTAGAAGAGAGCGCAAAGTCCAACCATCAGCATAGACATGAAAGCACCCAATTGATCCAAAGCACTTTCTAACCCCTCCAAGGCTAATTTCAACTGCAGCTGGTACAGTCCGTACAGCTTACGGCCCAGCGCTCACACCAGCCCTTCCCCACAGCTGAAAACCACTTGGAAAGATCATTTACAGGTGCCCAGCTCCCCTCTGACAGCCTTCACATCCCAGGCACCACGGCCCCCTGCCAGCTTCCAGCTCCATCACACCGAGGATGGAGCATCACCCCCCACCCCAAGGTCTCCGACGGGAAGCAATCCCTTTTCTCCACCCAGAAGGAAGCACACTCACAGTTTTCACCACTGGCAGAACCACCCACACGCCAAGCCCCCAGCAAACTGGTGTTGAGGTGAGAGAAGAGTAAAAAGCATCTATTTCTCAGAGATAATCCAGGCTGGAGGAAGCAAGCCCTGCCCTGAGCTTCGCCCTCTGCGTATCCAACACGCCTCTCCACCGCGCTCCCCGTACTCCCTGCTGAGAACCCGGCTGGGTGGCACGGCGCACGCCAAAGCCTGCTCGACGTCTCGTGTGTTTTGAAAGGGGCCTTTTTCTCAGATCTCATGCCTTTATGCCACCCTTCTTTTGAGTTACAGGGCTGCATCTCGCTGCTTCTGCTGTGCAGGAACTAGGCAGGAGGCTGCAACGCTTCCAAGCACCTTTACAACCAGGGGATTTTCCAAGCTTCCCCCCCATCCCCGACACCTCCAGATCAGTTTTCAACACATGCAGCAAGTTATTTGGGGAAGTGCAAACATCAACCGTGAGAAGATGGCTCTTCCCCCCCTGTGATCAAAGGAAAAGTGACGTTTCCCTGCGCTCAGCACGGGGAGAGCAGGCAGCCACCTCCTCAGCTGACACGCACAGACCAGGCAGCGTGCAGTGAAGCTCATCAGCCATAGGATGTCCCCACCACGGCAGACCGTACCAGGTACGCTCCTGCTGTTGACAAGGGGAGGACCCCACGTGAAAACAGATGGTCTGGTTCTGACCAGACCCCATTCGCTGACCCCAGGGCTCTGACACCGCTCCACAACGCCAGCACACGCGCCAAACTCCGCGGCTGCACTCGCTATGTGCTCAGCCACGCTTCCCCAGATCCCGTGCCACCGAGCTGGGAACAAAGCTGTGACTCGCAGGGTGCTCTGAAGGAAAGCATCTATCAGACGCCTGGCTTGCCCGCGTACTAGTGACTCCTCACCTCACCACCTCTGCCCCAAGCGATCGTGCCAATGGCCAGGACTAAAAATAAAGCACGCAGGGTGACAATGACTGCAGGGAGGAATGGGAAAGACACTCAAGCCAGCATCCCGATTCCCCGGCACAGCTGGGCACTACAGCTGCCCGGCTGCATTCCCGCCACAGAACAACTAGTTAGCTCTCTGCTCAGCCTCAGGAGCCTCTGACACCACAGGGATGGGGAAACCTGGGTCCCAGGTCCAGCCGAGCCATGCTCTGCCAACCAGGGACTGGGACCTGGATCCCTGCTGATTTCCAGCCAGGCCTGAAATACAGGCTGTCCCACTGGTAGGGACTTCCCAGGACACCACCCACTTGGTTCTCACCCTTACACCCCATGGCACGAAGGTGCACGGCCACCGGAGAGCCAAAGGGAATGCAATGCAGGCGGGATCCCAGGTTACCAACCTTGCCTGGCCCAAGGGGAATGGAGCAAGGAGGAGGCTCTGGGCCACACAAGGCCTGAGAGAAAGAGGTCTCTCCCGAGGCCTGAGGGGAATAGGACAGGATTTTTTCCCCCTGATCCTAAAAGGAAGGGAAATTGCACATGGGGATAAGAGATCTTTCCGGAGCCTGAGGACTCACAGCTGTTACCAGGCTTGATGGAACCAGGGGAATCACAGCCAGGTCAGGGGAGAGCAGGGAGGACCATGGGCCTTTCCAGGCCTGAGGAGAAGGGTCTGCCCCTGGGGCCTCTACCACTCTGGTCCCACCTCACTGCGCGTGAGGGGAATGGGGATGCTGGGACTAAAAGAAAGGGGTCTCAGCCACAGGCCTCGGTGGGGCTCACGAGATGCGGGTT